TTGTTATACTTTCTCCGTGTAATTTAATTTAGATAAATTATTATTTTTTTTTTTTTAAAAAAAAAAAGAAATTTTCTCTTTTTCTCCTTATCAAAAAATTATCCATTTATTCATGTAATTAAACTAAATATATTATTTTTGCATTTTTACAACAATGTAATTTAAAAGCCATTTTTTTTCTCGAGATCATATGACGCATATGTGACATATCACAAAATATTAGTATTGTTATACTTTTTTTTTAAAAAAAAAAATGGAAATTCCTCTTTTTCTCCGTGCGTATCAAAAAATTATCCATAATTAAATTAAATGTATTAAAAACATTAAAAACTAAACCATATTTGCAATCACAATAATTGAATTTTAAAAAAAAACATTTTTTCTTGGAATATATGAGACATAATAACAAAAATATAAGTATTGTTGTATTTTCTCTGCATAATTTAATTTATATCAATTTTTTTTAAAAAAAGGAAAATTTCTTTTTTTCTCCGTATCAAAAAATTATCCATATATTCATGTAATTAAACTAAATGTATTACATCAACCATTTTTGCATTTTCACAATAATGTATTTTAAAAAACCATTTTTTTTTCGAGATCATATGACGTATATACGCATATGTGACACATCACAAAAATATCATACTTTTTTTTTTTGAAAAAAAAAAAATGGAAATTCCTCTTTTTCTCCGTGCGTATCAAAAAATTATCCATAATTAAATTAAGTGTATTACAAACTAAACCATTTTTGCAATTACAATAATTGAATTTTAAAAAAAAACATTTTTTCTTGAGAACGTATAACAAAAATATTAGAATTGTTGTATTTTCTCCGCATAATTCCCTATAAAAAATTTTATCCGTTATTTCTATAAAAACACTGTAAAAACTCCGTAAAAATGAGCCTTTCACAGAACCATTCACGGAAAATGTAAATGATTTGATAAATTCCGTGATATAAATTATTAATTCCAGAATTATGAGCCTTTTTACGGAAAAAGGACGGAATATAAAAAACATTTCTTTTTTTTCTCCGTATCAAAAAATTATCCATTTATTAATGTAATTAAACTAAATATATTATCAAACTAAACCAATTTGTTATCACAACATTTATAACAATTCGAATTTACAATATTCTGCCTTTAAGGAGAACATGATATCCGGTAGGCTTTTGTGGTTGAATCTTAAAAACGCCTTATTTTAATAAAGAAAATTTTGAAAAGGTATTATCCAAATTATAACATTAAAACAATGAAAATAAATATACATTCATGTTTAAAAAAGATTCTAGACAGATATACAACTTGTAATTTTTTATTGCATATAAATAAACGTAATGTTGCTTTTCAACGGAATAATGGAATAACCGATATAACATCAATTATCCTGTTATTAATATAAATTTTTAATGGAGTTAATAGGAGAAAAACAACAATCAACGTTTTTTATATTCTTCAAACATTCATTATA